TGTCATTATCATCCTACAACGTTCGTGCACTACAACCTTAACAGTTTCACTTATCATTATCAACATTTAATTAATCATTGTTGAGATGATTCATTTGATTTGAATTGTTATCATTATTTTCATAAGATACGTACACATTTGAAATTTGAATCCCATTATTGGTCCATCTATGGTTTGAGATGAAATTCTTGCTAAGATATTGCAAATTCTAACAAACAAAAATATATCAATTTTTGGAGTGAAGAATTTCTTATCGGATATAATTTTGATTTAGTCAAAATATCTTCCTTGCAAGCCTCTCCCATTACTTCTCTTAGGTACATCTATCTCTTCCTTGCAAGACTCTCTCACTACTTTTCTTAGGTACCTCAAGGAATATTCCAAAAGATTTATTGGCGTATTTAGCCCTGTTTGATGGTCATTACTCGGAAAAAAAAAAGTTTCAAATAGTATTTTTTTAGGAAAATGTGTGGGTAAAGAATAGAGAAAAATTTTAGATTTATGTGCATGGCATGCGCGCTAAGTCTATACATATCTCCGGACTTTTATAATTTTTTAAGGGATAATTGTGCAACTATTCTAAGGACCTATTTGATATGAGAGTTTTACGAGGAAGTTACTTTAATTGGTATTGGATTAATTTCCTCTAAAAGAAGGACATGTGTAAAATTATTCAAATGGGTCAAAAAGTGTATTTTGAATCTCAAAAACTCCTTTTGATTTTTCAAAAATCACACCAATAGGTTTCACCTTTCTTCAATACTTAAAAATATTTCAATTTTTAAAAATTTTGCTTTGTTACCTTATTTTACGCTTTAATAACTTCTGTGTTACTGTTAACCTTCCGTATGTATTTAAAGTAAACGAGATTTATATCGTTTAAAATATAAGGGTGACATAAGAAATAAGAAAAATAGGAACGATAGGACTAGAAACGATATATTATGGTCTTGTCCAGTTCCTTTTTTTTTTTCCTTTTTGAACCAATGACTTTATTTTCACAATTCTCAATGGGAATGACTATTGTCCAATTCTCAAAACACCCACACCGAACTACTTGATGTCCATACATACTCGCCCTACCTTCCACCACTAAATTACTTTCACTTTTATGTCAACATAATGCGTTATACTTGAATGGTAATGTAATA